GAGCAGGCTGCAGCTACCTGAGAGGACGCGACGACCTGGGGGGGCGCTCCCATTGAGGGGGACGCAGTGTCCAGCGTGAACAGGCCAGACACGGGGCCCCGGGGGAACGTGGTAGGGGCACCAGTGGAGGCCTCGGTACAGACAGCGTACCGCTCGTGTCCAGGGAACGTAGTGGTGACGCCAAGGTCCTGAAGACAGCCGACACCAACTAGGTTCCTGGAGAACGAGGGGATGTGCAAGCCTATAAGAGAGCCCAAGGGGACCGCGGCACAGGGAAGGGTAGTGGAGCTACGTGCGACTACCGGACCTGAGGAGGGGTCAGCAAGCGCTACAGCGTCAGGGGCAGCAAGCGGCGTGAGCGAAGTGTGGTCGCAGAAGAAGTAGGCAGACGCTCTAGAGTCGAGCGTGAAAGAGAGTGAAGCAGTGGCGGCTGGCGGAGGGGCTCGCGTAGAGCCTCAGCAGTAGGGGAACCTAGAATACACACGGAAGGCACACCTACACTAAACAACACAAGGTAATAAGATTCGGTCACACTAGAGTCATCAGCATACATGATATACATAGCACTCCTTATCTGATCCGTGTCAAGCTCAAAGACGGGCACACGGCGGCGGGCCAGGGCGTATCAGTCAGGAAGGTCCGAGGTGGGACCAAAGCGGAGACCGTAGAGGTCGTCGAGGTGGCGGTAGCAGCAGGCGGTGGTTTGACCTGGACTGTTGCTGACGATGCCGCGGCGGGGGCCGGTGTTAAGCTGGAACTGGCAGGTGGTCACACTGGAGCCACCACCCGACACCGAGCTGCGCGAGACACCACCATGACCACCAACGCTAGCGCCACCAAGCCACCACGACGGCGGGGGTCCCCACGACGGCTAGTGCTGCTGCTGCTGCTGCTAATGCTGGTGAGGTTGTTGCTGCTGCTGCTACTCCGGGGCACCATCCCCGGTCCCCTCGTATGCACCACCATCCCCGCCCCCACCTCCACCACCCCCACCACCCCCACCACACTTCCCTCCACCACGTCCCCCCTTGGGGCGGCGGCCCCTACCCTGACGCTACTACGCTGAGGCCGCAGCAGCGGTCTCAGCAGCAGGGGCTATCTCAGCAACAAAGGCAGACACGTCAGAGTAAGTGCAATGAGAGGGAGCACAGCCCTGGAAGATAGGGACCGGCGCAGTACCGCTAGACTGAGCGATAGTGCGCTGGCGGGTCTCTATCGCAGACAGGGCGGTGATAAAGTCAGGGAGGGTGAGGTCACCTGGGTGCTGACTAAGGAAGTGGTCGCGGGCAGTGGCTAGGCGGTCAGGCAGACGCGTGGCAATGAGGTAAAGGGTAGTGCAGAGCGGCGGCGGGAAGGCAGTGAGCTGTGCCTCAGTGCTAGCGGTGCGGTAGCTAGTCTCCAGTGCGCGGAGGTGCGTGGCAAGGTCAGCGACAATGGGGAAGGACGCAAGGTCAGGAAACAGCATGGGGAGGATCAGGCGGCCTGTAGAGGCTGAAACGGAGGTGGAATAACGCGCGATGACAGCATATAAGTCGTCCTTGGCGTTTGCTACAGTGGTAGAGCGAGGACGCTTGGACAGGGGGAGGGCGTGGCAAATGGCAAGGTGAGCAACAGCGTTGCGCAACTCCCAGACAGCACAGGCAAGCTCGGCAGCGACAAAAGCCTCACGCTCAGAAGACGTGGGGGCGTCAGGGAGGGCAACAGGCGGGGCGGGGCGTGGGAGCTTACCGTCGACGTGGACGGCCAGGGAGTGGCCGTCCTGGCACTGCCCGGTCAGCTGGCGACGGAGGTCGACAAGCCACACCTCAAACTCAACAGCCCGACCGTCCGTGCCCAGGCGAAGCACACCGTCCGCCATCGCCACAGCTGCAGCAGCTGACAGCCGCTGGAGGCAGAGGAGAGTAGTGGGGAACGGTGGAGAGCAGTGTAAAGCGGTGGAGAATGGTGGTGTGCGGTGAAGAGTGGTGGAGTGCAGTAGAGTGCAGTGGAGTGCAGTGGAGTGCGGTGCTGAGCGGTGACGTGCGGTGGAGAGCAATGGAGACTACCGGCGGGAGCGCTGGCTCAGAGGGGAGCCAAGGCCGACAGGTAGGGGCGGCAGAGCAGATCGGTGGCGCAGCGATACGGCGGCACGGCGGGCACAAGGCTAGCGAGCGAGGGCCAGCAAGTGCGGGGCCAGCGGGCACGGGGCCAGCGAGCGGAGGGCCAGCGAGCAAGGGGCTGGCGAGCGCGGAGCTGGCGACGGGAGGGCCGACGAGCGACGGGCCAGCAGGCACGGTGCTGGCGCGTGCGAGGCCAGCGAGCTACACACCAACCAGCAGGAATTTGCGCGTCTGCAAGCTGAAAGAGCCCAAGCTGAATTTGAAATATCTTCACCTCGGAGCCGACTGCCTCAGACACGACACGACACGATCGCACCAACGACAACTCAAGGACAACAGGAGCAAGTAATTTAGCAGCGTTTTGAAATACCTGGCAACAATCAGTGACCACATGCAGCTTCGCCCGAGGGATCGACGAACAACCCGCCACCGGCTATTGAACGAGCGGAAATTGGTGAAAAGACGAATGTAAACATGCTGCCCTCAATTACCTCTCCGATTGGCCTGCAAACTGGCAACGTCAACATGGCGCCAGGCATTCTCAAGTCGCAGAGGCCACACACGTTCGACCCGAGCTAGTGTGGCAGCTTGTCTGTCAGCGGGTGGATCTTTCACCTGGACGGCAGGTCCGACGGCGGCCGCAACGCGGGGGGCTGCGGGTGTAGTGGCGGCAGCACCTTCGATGGCAGCCGCGGCTGTAGGAGCAACCAAGGGGGGGGGGGGGGGGGGGGGGGGGTGGTCTGCGCTGGCAGGTGTGGCTGCGGCGGCACTGGTGGTTGTGGCAGCAGCAGCAGCAGCAGCAGCAGCAGCGGCAGCAGCTATCGCGGCTGTGGCGGCAGCACAGGCGGCTGCAGCTGGCGGCTGGGGCTGGTTGGCGCCAAGCAGCGGGCGAAAAGTGCCAGCCGCCAATGGCAGCGCGAGCAGCAGCGGCAACGGCATGTGGCGGCGGGCAGCGGCTGCAGGCGGCTAGTGGCAGGCGGCAGTGGCAGGCGTCGGCGGCAGCGGCAGGCGGCAGGCGGCCAGCGAAAGCGGCGCGCGTTAGGTGAGCGGAAGTGGCAGGTGGCCAGTGGCAGGCGGCAATGGCAAGCGGCGGCGGCAGCAGCAGGCAGCAGGTGGCCAACGGCTGCAGGCGGCTAGCGAGCCGCAATGGCGAGCGGCAGCTGCAAGCGGCAAGCGGTAGTGGCGAATGACAGGCGGCAGCGGCGAGTGGCAGGGGCGAGCGGTAGGCGGCAGCGACGAGCGGCAGGTTGCTTGTGGCAGGTGGCCAGTGGCTGGCAGCCAGCAGCAGGCAGCAGGCGGCGATGATACTATACCATGTCAGAAAAATAGAATCACTTGATCAGGCATATGCAGGACAGCGTTCCTACATGTGTGTTGTACTCTCTATAGTCTACCCTAGTTAGCCTACAGTATATGCAAATACATACGCCAACATCTCTTAGCTATATTAAGACCCCTTGTGCGGAAAGCCCCATGGTGCACTTTTCGAGGGGGTAATCAGTCTACGAGATTAGAGTAACTTATGGAATGCACTTATCAGTGTTATTCCAGCATGTACAACACAAAATTAACTCGTTTTACAGTGTGGATCTTATTGTTAGGATTACGGAGTGGACTCAAATAAGGGATACAAGGGAGCTACAGTATATGGTTGGGAGTTGTACTCTCTAAAAGCACGTACCCATCTAGTGTATAACTGCTACATATACAACATACAGTGACGAAAACAATTGTTCGTATGTTTTATATTAATTTGGGGTTTTAGGTTTTAAGACCACTATACATTTAGCCTAAATATTTAATGGTGGTACGATTTGTGAGGGGCACATAGTGGATGTGTTCACAGCACAAAAATCCATAATAGTACATTGGATCCAATTCATATCCTAGAAGATAAAAAAAGGGTGCATCCGCACAAATAGTTCCAAACAGAGAGAGCAAACTTCAGAACTGTGTTTCTGGTACATAGCCCAGCGACCTTTGGCCTTGATCACCACCCGCACCCTCCTAGGCATGTTACCTACGAGGTTAGTGTAAACCTCAGCAGGGAACTTCTTGCACTCTTCTTGGACCCACCGTTTTGCATTTGGGGGTGAGCACTAGGAAAATCACACTAGGGTCTGCGGGTTTAGTCACGTTGCAGCAGTCGTAGAAGTCATGACTATTCTAGAAATACATTAGCGGACAGCTGCAATTCGTGGAGTCGCATGCTGAGTGGATAATTAATGGGACCAACATCAACTGCTTTAGCTCCACTGGTGTCACAGGATCGAATGTGTCAAGGAAAGGTTGTACTATTGATTGATACAAGGCGCTTTTATAATTCCTAAGTATATCAGGTAACCAGGTTTATCCTATCTCAAGGGAATAGATCCTTCTAGAAAATAGAATCACCATGCGTATGGCCACGCGAGGCTATTGGCTTTAAGGGATTATGGCAGGATTACGCTAGATATAGCGTACCAGTACATCCCGAGCCTGGTCGGTGATATAATGATAATAACAGGATAAACCAAAGGTTTAATGGAAAAGAAGGAATAGGAATCCAAATGGAATGAGATAAAGACCAAATGAATCAGGATAAAAAGAGGAATGAAATGGAAAGAGAAGATGGAAAGGAGAAAGGAATGGATCAGGGTCGTACTCTCACACTTCCCCCCCTCAAAGCTGGGTGGTAGAAGTAACACCCTGCTTGACAAGGTAGTCGCAAAGAGGACGACGAGCGTGATCCATCTCGGATTCAGAGACCCAGCTATCCTCTGAAGGATCATAACCCTTCCAACGGATGAGAAGCTCCACGTTGCCAGTCCGTCGACGGCGGTGTGCGAGCATGGACTCGACCTCGTACTCGGGTTCATCGTGGACGAGGACGGGCGGCGCCGGCGGCGGTTGGCGTCCAGAGAAGACCGTGTTGGGATCTCGGTAGGGCTTCAAGAGTTGGACATGGAAGGCGTTGTGAAGCTTCCAGGTAGCTGGTAGGCGTAAGCGGAAGGTAACAGGAGTGACCTGTGCTTCAACGAGAAAAGGCCCGCAGAAGAGAGGTCGCAGTTTGGATGGGAGATGGCTGATGTCAAGATTGCGCGTGTCGAGTAGTACTCGGTCTCCCATGGTGATGGTGTGGTCTGTGCGGTGGCGATCGGCTTGGCGCTTCTGTTGTTGCCGAATGTCGAGATGGCGCTTGTGGGTCCGATCCCAAAGTTTGTGCATGGTCGTGATGAAATCATGAGCGGGTTGGACTGTGGCTGGTATGTTTGGCTGTTGAGATGTGAGTGGGTGGCGTCCGTAGCAGAGGAAGAACGGCGTCTGTCCAGTAGCGGCGTGAGTAGCATTGTTGTAGGCAAACTCCAGGACGGGTAGTTGCAAGTCCCATTTGGAGATGTCGTCCTCGCAGGCTGCGCGGAGGAGTTGCTCCACAATTTGGTTGAGGCGCTCGGTCTGTCCGTCTGTCTGCGGATGGTATGCGGATGACATGGCGAGTTTGGTTCCGAGTAGAGACATCAGTTCTTTCCAGAATTTACTGGTGAACTTAGGGTCTCGGTCGGAGATGAGTGTGGTTGGAATGCCATGTTGTGAGATGATGTAGCGAACAAAGATTTGTGCTGTCTCCTCGGTGCGTGCTGTGGTGTGTGTCGGGATGAAGTGTCCCATTTTGGAGAACTTGTGAATGACGACGAGGATCGTGTCATGACCGCTTGTGGTAGTTGGTAGCCCGGTGATGAAGTCTAGGCTTACCACTTGCCATGGCTGTTCTGGGACAGGACGAGGCTGTAGTAGGCCTGCATTTTTTTGCTTGCTGCTCTTCATCCGCTGACATGTAGTGCACGAGGTGACGAATTTCTGTACGGCATCTGCCATGTGGGGCCAGTAGTAGTGTTTGGCGATACCGGTGAGCGTCTTGTTGCTACCGAAGTGTCTCGCGTATAGGACGTCGTGGTATTCTTCGAGTAGTAACTGGCGCAATGGAGGGTAGTTAGGTACCCAGATCTTCGTTGATCCTTTCCGGTACGCGATATCGTTATCCCACTGTAGCAGATGTCGCTTTTTTGCCAAGGGAATTTCGGGGTCGATGGTGTACCCGTGTGTGAAGAGTCCCTTGAGGAGTGGATTCATCCCTTCAGCTTGAATAGCGGCAACGTGTGCAGGCCGGCTAAGCGCATCTGCTTTGTTTTTGTGGCCGGGCTTGTACACGATGTCGTAGTGGAAGTGTGTCTCGAGGAAGTCAATCCACCGAACCTGTCGCCTGGAGAGGCTTGGTTGCGTCTTCAAATATTTTAGGCTGTAGTGGTCGGTGAATACTATTGTTTTGCGTCCTTCGAGATAAGATCTCCACGTTTTGAAGGCGATGATAATAGCAAGGGCCTCCTTGTCGTGTATTGGGTAGTTGAGCTCAGCTCCGTGTAGTTTCTTGCTGAGGTAGGTGATTGGTTGCAGTCCATTCCCCTGGTCTTGCATCAAGACTGCTCCCACTGCCTGGTCACTGGCGTCAGCTTCGATGACGTAGTGGCGTTCGGGATCTGGCAAGATGAGTACGGGTGCGGACGTGAGTGCTTGTTTCAGCAGTTCCACGGCTTCTTGATGTCTTGGTTCCCAGTTATAGGGCGTGTTCTTCTTCAGCAGATTCGTGAGTGGCGCGGCTATCTTCGCGTATTGTGGCACGAACCTGTTGTAGTAGTTAGCGAAGCCTAGGAACTGCTGTAACTCCTTCACGTTCTCGGGTGTCTTCCACGTACGCACGGCTTCGATTTTCTTGGGGTCGATGTGAACTCCTTGAGCGCTTACGATATGTCCGAGGAATTGGACTTTCTCGAGGGCGAAGTCGCTCTTGGATAGTTTGACGTAGAAGCGTTCTCGTCGAAGAATTTCGAAGACACGTCGTAGGTGCTCGACGTGTTGTTGCATGTCGCACGAGTAGACGAGGATGTCGTCCAAGTACACCACCACGCATTCGTCCAAGAGTGGGCGTAGGATATGATTCATCTCTGTTCGGAACGTTGCAGGTGCGTTGGTGAGTCCAAACGGCATTACCAGATACTCGTATGATCCGTACCGAGTTCGGAAAGCAGTTTTGTGAACAGACTCGTCCGCCATTCGTATCTGCCAGTAACCGAACCGCAGATCTAGTTTTGAAAATACCGTGGCTCCCCGAATCTGGTCAACCAGGTCATCGATTTGTGGAATCGGGTATTTGTTTTTTATGGTCTGCTTGTTGAGAGCTCGGTAGTCGATGCACATGCACAGGCTTCCGTCCGGTTTTGGTGTGAAGAGTATTGGGGCACCGTATGGCGAAGTGGATGGTCGGATGAGTCCTTTGGCGAGGAGATACTCGATCTGCTTCTTCATGTCGGCTAGCTCTGTGGGGCTAAGCCGATATGGTGCTCGGAAGGTCGGTTTCGAACCTGGTTCCTCCACGATCTCGTGTTGGTGCGTTCGTTATGGCGGTAGCTCGTCCGGGAGGTCGTCGGGAAGAATGTCTTGGAACTCCTTCAGTAAGTCCTTGATTTTTTCTGGAGGTTCCGAGGCTTTCTCTCCATCATTCTCCACCTCTGTTTCTATCGCCAGGAATCCGGTGTTGGTTCGCTTGACGTCCTTCTCGAACCTGGCGAGTGTCTCCACTAGGATTTCTCCTGTATTGTCCCAGTTGGGTAGCTGGACTCTCCTTTCTTTGTTGTAGATGCTTGCGGTGCAGTTTACCCAGTTGATCTCGGGGTTGAATTTCTTGAGGAAGTCTCGCCCGAAGATCAGGTCAAGCCCTTTTATGTTGGTGATGGGGAGTGCAGGTTTCCAGCGCAGTGGACCGATTTGTAGGTGTAGCACTGCTTCGCCGTACACTGGTAACTTGCTGCTGTCCACCATCGTTGCAGAAAACGCCGATGGCTTGCACTCTTCTCGAAGTCGGTCGATGGTTGCCTTGTCGCATACGGTGTGCGATGCTCCGCTGTCCACGAGTGCTTGGAGGCATCGTCTTTTGCAGATGACCTCGAGCACGAGGGGTTGGCGTTGCTCGGAGTACCCAAAGATAGTTTCATTGATTGGGTCATAGCGTACATCCTAGTATTCGTTGCTTCCTACTCCTGAGCTGGCAGCTGGCCGAGGCTGCTTGGAGAAAGGCTCTTCTCCAGGGCTCGGAGTTTCCGTGACGACTGTCCTTCGTTGACGAAGGAGGAGTTCGGGGTTTTTGCAGCTTCCGGTAGACCCCCAGCTTCCTCTTGAGCTGCTTCAGCTCCACCGACATCTTCCATGGGGAACGGGTAGTCGCTGTGGGCTGGTGTCGGGAGAGGACGTTGACTCCGTGGAAAGGTCGGCTTCTTTCCACACTCCTTAATTTGGTCCCCATGTTCTCCGGTACTGGTACGATCTCCACAAGTTTCTGCTTCTTCTGGAGTCCCTCCCGAATTTTCTCCAAGGCTCTAGCCCCTCGAGAATTACAAGTTTTCATTAACGCATCTTTATAAGATAACTTTAACGAATCCTTATACTTTCTTGGGTCTTCAAGGAGTTTCCCCGTTTTAGCAGGGTCCTTTTTCGCGGAGTTAGATTTTTCCTCGGCGATTTCCTCTGGCGAAGACTGGTCGTGGGGTGGAGATTGTTCCCCATCATTTTCTCCTGTTCGCGTCGAATCAGCTGATTCGAAGTTGATTTTTCCGGAAGTCCGCGGCCGCTTTCGGATCTTTTCTTTTTTGCCAGCTAGATCTGCAATCACTGGCGAGCCCCATTTTTTGGCTTCTGATTGGCCGAAGGATTTCCGCCACTATTGCGTTCACGATACTCAGCGCGAGCGGCTTTCATTTTGTTGCAGTCGAAGATTCGATGACCCGGCACCCCGCAAAAATCGCACGTGAAGTTGGTGTTTTTCGGACGTGGCCGCCCTTCGAACCTGTCGACTTCCATCGGGTCGGCGAACGTGGGGTGAGCCGAGCGGTCGCCCTGTCGCGTACTGCCAACGTGCGTCCGCCGTGTCCCGGCGTTGACCATGTCGAAGCGTTCCGCGGCCGATACGACATCACTGTAGCTCGCGTAGTTTGTCGCTGCCACGTGTCGTTTGACTTCAGTCTTCAGCCCGGCGAGGTACGACTGTACTTTTTCCCGTGCGGACAGGTCGGGGAATGCGGTTATAAAATTCCTCCATCTGCTGCGTGTACTGCGCTACACTCCCGAACTGTCGATGGCGATGAATTTTTTCCCGGGCAAGGAAACCCGAATTTATCGGCTCGAAAAGTTTCAGCATGTCGATGTGAAACTGCTGCCACGTGGCTTCGCCATGGATGAAGGTGCTGTTACTGCCGATCCACTCGAGTGCCGGCCCTCGCATCAGTACCGCTGCGAGTCGTACGCGTTGTCCGTCCCAGACTGGCGATCTCCATCCGACAGCTGTGAAGTAGATCTCCATGCCAGCGATCCATCTGCAGACGTCGGAATTTTGATCGCTCGGATCGAACGGCTCAGGTGGGCGCGGTTTCGGAGCCTCGAGAAATTGTTGCGACTGCTGCGTCGTCGCCGTTGTCGTTTCGTGTAGCGCGCCGGCGAGTCGAGTTACTCGCTCGAACTCTTGTCGCCAAGCTTCACGGTCGGCTCGCATCTCCTCCTGTAGGGCGGCGATGCTTGCGAAGAGCTGCTGGGTAACTTCGGCGTTGTCGAAGTTCGCCATCGTGTTCAAAACACGGGCGGAGGGGGTAATTCGAAAAATCGCGGAGCTGGTGCTTACCAGAATCGGCGTCGAATTGGTCGCCCCCGGCGGTTTTTCGAGGCAGGAGTCCCCCTGCTGCTGCTTAGCTGAGCGCGGCCGAGTGAGAATAGCTCTGATTACCAAGTGTTACAGGATCGAATGTGTCGAGGAAAGGTTGCACTATCGATTGATACAAGGCGCTTTTATACTTCCAAAGTACATCAGGTAACTAGGTTTATCCTATCTCAAGGGAATAGACTCTTCTAGAAAATAGAATCACCATGCGTATAGCCCCGCGAGGCTATTGGCTTTAAGGGATTACGGCAGGATTACGCTAGATATAGCGTACCAGTACATCCCGAGCCTGATCGGTGATATAATGATAATAACAGGATAAACCAAAGGTTTAATGGAAAAGAAGGAATAGGAATCCAAATGGAATGAGATAAAGACCAAATGAATCAGGATAAAAAGAGGAATGAAATGGAAAGAGAAGATGGAAAGGAGAAAGGAATGGAACGGGGTCGTACTCTAACAATTGGCCACGCGTTTGGATTTGTGAAGGCACAACCCTGAAGCACCACCAAATCCAACAGACGGTAAACCATGGGGACAAGGATCGGTGATGGTGTGGGGATGTATGACATGTACGAGGGTGGGGTTCATATGCAAGATTGACGAGCGCATAGACATGCCCCTGTATGAGGGCATTTTGCTCTATGTACTCGAATTGACCCTCGATTTCTATAGCATTTTCTCCTCTGAGGTCATTTCGGTGAGGACAATGACGCAAAGAATTTGTCATACGTAGTGCAGGAATGACTTGGAGAACATGAGTATGTAGCCCTGTAGTGGCCTTCTTCCTCATCAAACCACAACCTCTGGGCTTACATAAAAAGGGAGTTGGTCAAGCATAAAGGGTCTTCCTCTGGAATGCGGGAGCTTTGGGACCTAGTACAGGAAGAATGGGAGATCTACGCCGAGGTTTGCTCTAACCTCATCGACAGCATGCCTAGGAGGGTGCGGGCGATGATCAAGGCCAAAGGTTGGTAGGCTACGTACCAGAAACGCAGTTCTGAAGTTTGCTCTCTCTGCTTAGAACTATTCGTCCTTATGTACCCTTTGTATATCTTTTGGGATATGAGTTACATCCAATATACTATTCTGGATTTTTGTGCCATGAACACATCCATCATGTGCCCCTCCCAAATTGTACCACTTTTAAACATGAAGGCTTAATGTATAGTAGTCTTAAAGCCTAGAAACCCAAATGAATGCACAACATATAGACAATTGTTTCCGTCACTGTATGTATAAGTTGACACACCTACTAGGCTATATAAGGGGCAGTGCCTAGCAAGAGACACGCAACGCAGGGCGGCACTCCTAGTCCAACCTCTGAGGCAAGGGTCCGAAGACCAGTCAGCAAGCATACAAATACAGAAAGAGTAACTCAGGGCGGCACTACTAGTCCAGCCTCTGAGATAAATGTTACAAGGCCAGTCAAGATAATATCAGGAGTAGTACACAACTCAGGTTCCTAGCAAGTGAGGAGCTACTGGAACTAGACCGAACAGTAAGCAGTGCCGCTGATGATATTTAGGCGCAAGCGCCTTACTAAAGGTATTAGACGTGCCTGGCGGCGCTGCTGTAGCTCGCGCACAAGGAAGTACCGCAGCTGGATATGCTTCTCTCTGCCCTCTAGTTGAGGCTCGTAACACTGAAGGATCATGGCCTTGTTGTCAGTGTACTGGACCAAGGCAGGGCTAGGCCGCTCACCTAAGTCTGTAAGCAAGAACTTCAGTCAGCGGAGCTCCTGTGCTACCATGGCACTAGCGTAGATCTCAGCCTCACAGCTAGAATGGGCAACAGACAACAAGCAAGTGGACCTCCAAGAGATAGCACTTGCACCAAGGCTAAAGCAGTAGCCCTGGGAGGACCTGAGGGTCTCAGCGTCGTCTGCCCACGCAGCATCTGTGTGCCCGGTGAGAACCACTGGCCTGCGTCCTCACAGCACTAGCCCCATGCCTAATGTACTTGCTAGATAACACAACACCCCCTTAGCGACCGACCAGTGCTGGGGTCGATGTTTGCCTGTCGCCACAAAGCGAGCCAGCATACTAAGAGGGTATGCGAAATCTGGACGAGTGCAAGTTATCAGGAACATGAGGCAGCCCACAAGCTCTACGTACTGACCACTGGGCCATCTGGCTCGTCAGGGACTAAAGCCGAGAGCATGTGATCCACTGGCTGAGGAGTGGACTGTGTGGAGAAGAACTGAAGGCCGAACCACTGAAGGACCTGGCGCATTAAGTGTGATTGTGCAAGAGTGATGGTGCACGCTGCTCTCTCCCTGGATATATGCAGCCCAAGGTAGCGACGCAGCTCTTCTAGGTCAGTGCAGGTGTGTCTCCTCAGCAGCTCAGCCTTCACCGAGGCCAGTGCATCTCTGTCTGCAGTAGCGAAGACCAGGTCGTCTACGTAGACTAGGATGTAGAACGGAGTCCGGCCTGAGCGAACGAAGAGTGACGGGTCAGCAGAGGACGGAAAGAACTGAAGGTCTGCTAGTGTAGCACGCAGCGTATCATGCCACTCAGGAGGCCCGTATTGCAGACCGTAAACCGGGCGCCGAAGGAACCACTGGGTCCCAGGAGGAAAAGTGCCAGAGAAGTATGGCGGACGGCGCAGTTAGTGTTAAAATTATATAAGTTATAATTTAATATAGGCTTGGTAGGTTGTTACTGAACCTTTCTGTAGAGGGTACAAACCCCTTCTTGTACTCCTCTCTCTTCCTAATCAAATACCTTTCTTCTCGACATTCTCTCCCTTCCTAGATCCGTTTTCCTCACGCTATTCCATGGCGACCTTCTTCCTAGTATCCTAGCCAACCTAGCCTCCTAAGTTTAAGAACCTTGAGTCCTAAGTTTCTAAGATGGTATCAGAGCAAGAGATCCTCCCTGCTGGACCGCCTCCTCACGCTTCCGCCATTTACTCCTCACCCTCATTCGCTTGAGCGGCCATGGCGGCCGCGTTTTGCTGCAGTGGCGACGTCGCGCTGCCACTGGCCGCGTCGTGCCGCGACCGGCTCCTTGTTGCCTGCCGTCGCGGCACCAAGCTGTCGCGACGGCCCCTTGTTGCCTGCCGTCGCGGCGCCAGGATGTCGCGACGGCCCCTTGTTGCCTGCCGTCGCGACACCAAGATGTCGCGACGGTCCCTCGTTGCCTACCGTCGCGGCGCCAAGGTGTCGCGACGGCCCCTTGGTGCAGCCGTCGCCCGTCCGCCTCGCCGCTGCGACATTGACGGTGCGCTGTGGCGGCGTCTGCGGCAGCCGACGGCATCGTCGGGCTGCGGCCGGCCGAGCGACGTCTGTGGCGTCGCCGGGCCTGCCGCCCGCTCGCCACAGACGGGCGTCCCTCAGGACGACGTCCTCCCGCCAGTAAGCGCCGCGCCATTTATGGCGCGTCGCTGAAGACTCGCCTCGCCCCGCCCCCTCCCCTCCCCCCCCCCCACCTGCACCTGCTTCCCCTGCATCCCCCCCTTTCTTGCTGCAGCCGATGACTGCCATGTGAGGGACCTCTCCACCGCCGAGGAGACAGGACATGCCGCCGAGAGGGCGGGGGCCGCCGCACCAGCCTCTGTCGTTCGAGCCGCCGGCGCCGCCGCTGTTGCCGCAGGCCTGGAGCCGCCGCACACCGCCGCCGCCGCCGCCGTCGTCACTGTCGCTGCTGTCGCCATTGCCGTCTCAAGGGGCCGTGAGACCTACCCTCTTCCGGAGTCGTTGCGGCTCCTGCTGGGAATGGGGGTGCTGGGCTAGGGGGTGTGGGTGTGGGTGTGGGTGTGGGGGTGTGCGTGGGCTTGACACTACCAAGCCTAGGGGGTGTGTTAAAATTATATAAGTTATAATTTAATATAGGCTTGGTAGGTTGTTACTGAACCTTTCTGTAGAGGGTACAAACCCCTTCTTGTACTCCTCTCTCTTCCTAATCAAATACCTTTCTTCTCGACATTCTCTCCCTTCCTAGATCCGTTTTCCTCACGCTATTCCATGGCGGCCTTCTTCCTAGTATCCTAGCCAACCTAGCCTCCTAAGTTTAAGAACCTTGAGTCCTAAGTTTCTAAGAGTTAGATCTACTCGTGTAGACTACCCTGGAGAAACGCAGTGGAGAAGTCCAGCGAGTGAAGTTCGTAGTCGCGCTGTGCTGCTATATGAAGCAGCGCCCGAAGAGTGGTCATCTTCGGGGTCGGGGCGAAGGTCCGAAAGAAGTCAACACCCTTGAGCTGACGGAAGCCTCTAGCAACGTAGCGCGCCTTGAATACCGGCGGCTCTACGTTCGCCCCAGGTGGGGGAACTGCGTCGACGTAGGTGCCGGTGGATCTCCAAGATGCCATCTCTGCGTCCATGGCAACTATCCACTGAGACGCCCAAGGTCCCGAAGTCGCCTCCATCCACGATATTACCAACCTAACATGTACGTCATTTCTGAACTGAACATTAAGAGAGTCCATCGTGGTGGTGATGCTTTTATATCGGCTCAAACATTGCTTGATCATGCCTTTCATGGGTCCTAGCCAGGGTCTCAGATATCAAGGAAAATTCATGCGTCGTGTCATCCGCTAGTGTCATCGTGTCGTGGGGCAAATTGGGTGTCTTCCGAGATTGTGGGAGTGTCTTCCGAAGCTGACGGAATGTCAAGCAATCCGTCAAATGTGCGATTCTTTGTGTCGCGTGCTTACGCGCAGACGAACTGACGACAAAAAATGCGTTAAAGAAAATTAATCTTCGTTAACGAACCCTTTACGGTATGTGTTTCACGGAAATCTGTTACGGCTCGTCTGAATTCACGGACTTGTAAGGAAACGCTGCGACACTCGCAATTCTCCGAACGTAAGTAAAACTTTGGCAGAATTCTTGTTTCCGTTCGTTCCCGTTTGCGAAAATTGCCTGCTCACTTTAATAAACAGATGTCACTGTTCTCAGTCAAGGCTGGCACTTTCAATCGTCGACACTGGCAAAACCTAGTTTTCTCGGGTCTTCCTGCGTCTGACATCGTCGGTCGACACGACGCAGTAATCCGCCCTCAGACGAAATCGATCTGATGGTCTGAAAAACAGACCTGCTAAATTAATTCGTCTGGGATCTCAGACTCCTTGAAAAAATTCGTCTGATGGTCAGACCAAACTTTGAAACCCCGTCTAATTCTCAGACAGCCCTAAATCCTAGCTGAAACCCTGGTCCTAGCATTCCACCACATCGTCATCGGACATGTCGTCACCCGCTTCTTCAACATCCTCGCTCCCAACCTTGTGCCGCTTGCTATACCCTCCACCATCATCGCACTCCACACTCTCTTCCACAGCTCTCCTCCCTCTCCCTCTCCCTCGCCCTCTACCTCTCCCCCTCCCCCTCCCTTGCCCCCGCCCAGACGCCCCCCTCCCTGCACGTGCGCGTGCACCCTGCTGCTGTTGGCGCCGCATCAGCTTGAGCATGCCTCGCAGCTCCTCCACATCACCCCCCGCCTCGCCCACCTGGCAGCGCACAGGGAGGTGATGCCAAGAAAGGGGGGGGGGGGGGGGGGGGACAGGAGAGGGGAGGGGGAAGGTGGGGGTTGGGGGAAGGGGGGAGGGGAAGCCCAGCCAGGGAGATGTAGCATTGTTTGGTAACTGATCATCAGAAGCGGCACAGGAGCAGTGAGCAAGGGTGGAGGGGAGTTGGAGAGATGGAAACCAGGGCCCGAGGGAAACAGATGAGACGTACAGAAGCGTTTGTAGGAAGGCAAGCATATGGCGTAAGAGGTTAAAAAAAAGAATGGAGAGGTGGAGATGCCAAGGGGCAGTTGGCAAGTTTGATTGGCAGCATCGCAATGTCACGGCTCTCCTTCATGCACTTCCCCGTGGAGCATCGCTTCTCACCGACTCTCGACACGCCAAGGGAGTTTTGTGAACCGTGCAAGGCAGCACAATCATGTCCTCTCATGTCAAAGACACCTTTTCGGACTTCCCATGTCCTCTCATAACATCTCATGCCATCTCCTGCCATCTCATGTCATCTCATGCACTCTCCTCTCACCCTCATCCCCCCTCGCCTCTCGCCAGCATGCCCCCTCGCCTCTCACCAGCATGCCCCCTTGCCTCTCACCAGCATGTCTTTGAGAGTCGCCTCGTCGAACTCCTTGAATTCGCCCATCAGCGCCTGCAGGCCCGATGCTGCTGACAATGAAGTGCACGCCGTTAGTGCCGCTCCTGCTGACACCTTTTCTGCAGCTGCTGGCCGCTGTGCTGCTGGTGCTGCAACTCCAGCTGGAATTGCACTTGACACACCTCCTCCCCCGTCCGTCCCTTCAACTGCACCATCTTGTCTTCTCCCATCTACTTCCACCTTTGATCTTTTGATCTTCCTCTCACTCCCTCCTCCCCACTTCACCTTGCCACTAGCCCGGTGCACCTCAGCACCGATCGCCTCCAGCCCTTGCACCACCTGCTTCCCCCCTCCCTCCTCCCCCCCCTCCGTGCATCCATCTTTTAAATATCCCTCACACCCCTTCCCTTCTTGCTGCTCATTGCTGCCTTTTCCATCCTCCTCCGCCTCCTCCTCCTCCTCCACCTCCTCCACCTCCTCCTCATCCTCATCACCCTCCTCTGTCCCCTCCCCACCTTCCGCCTCACCACCCTCCCCTCCGTCCCCCTCCGCCCCGGGCTCGGCGTGCGCCTGAGCGAGCAGCATGGCGATGAGATGCGCCATGTCGTGGTTCACCTGGGGCACGGCACGGGGTGGGGGGACGGGAGATGCTTCAGAGGGCGTAACAGCGTGAGACGGAAGGAGGGAGTGAGATGGCTATTATAAGGGAGTGAGGTGGCCATGAGAGAGTGAGAAGGCATGAGAAAGTGAGAGGGCTGTGAGAGAGTGAGAGGGCATGAGAGAGTGAGAGGGCATGAGAGAGCCGATCGCAGCATGAGGGTGAGGTCCGATCGCAGCATAAGGGTGGCATTGTGCAGCAGAGGACAAGGAGGACGCCAGACCAAAACGGTTATGGTGGAAAGTCCACCTTCCTTGTGCCAGTTGCAACCTCTTGTACGGTTTCCTTGACATGCCTCTTCTGGCCGGCACTCCGCTGACATCATTTCACCTCCACCCCGTTGCCCACTTCACCGCCCTTTTAGAGTGTGAAATGGAAAGCAGCGCCCAGTCGCACCTGCAGGTTGTTGAGCACATCAGCGATGTCAGCGCTGCAGCGAGCAGCGGGACACTGCTTCACGATCTTCTGCGCGCGCAGCGACCGTCCAGCGGTCTTGGTGCGGTCGCGCGTGTCGGCGAGGCCGTGGAAGCGCGCCTGGAGGCAGGCGAGGCAGAAGATGTGCTGGCAGGGCGTGGCCACGGGGTCGCGCAGCACTGCCTTGCACAGCAGACACGCGAAGTCTGGGGGGCGGGGAGGAGACGAAGAAGGAGATATAGGGCAGTTGGGGGAAGGCAGGGGTGTGGTGAGATGGTGGAGGAAGGGGATGGGCGGAACGCTATTGACAGGGACGGAAGGCGAGATGCGCTGGACACCTTTCGCGTGGCCTCGACTACTTACAGGCTGATTTTCACAGCCGCAAACAATTGCAAATTCGTATTGTGACAGTATCAGTAGGCATTCACACTTGGACGCTTCTCCCTAGCTGCAGCAGCGGCGCACCTTTCTTCAGTCGCTTCTGAGCCAGTGCCCGCCTCTTCTTCACCGCCTCTGCCCCGCTGCACACAGCCAGGCGCTTGGCGGAGCGCCATGCCGTGCTGCTGCCGCCGATGGCTTTGGTGCAAGGGGGGGGAGGGCGTACCCATCCCCACTGCTGCTTCTCCTCCTGTGGGGGCGCGGGAGGGAGAGAGGCAGAATAGCAATGGAGGGATGCAGAGGCTCGGAGATGCCAGAATCGCCTTGCTGCCCATTGGGAGAGAGCGTGCCGGCCCCCACTGCTGGGTGTCCTCCCGCAGGAGCATGCGGTGGACAATTGAATTAGAAAAGGAGGGGGTATACATAGGTGAGGAGAGGGAGGGGGGGATTTGGTTGGGAGGTGGCCAAGATTATTGGCCATCCCAGTAAGTTGGGTTGACCAACTTATTGGGGGGTCCAATAATCCTAGCCAAGATTATTGGAGGGTCCAATAATTGGGAGCCCTAACCAATTTGGGAACCCAACAAAGTTGGGCACCCAACCTCCAACTTGGGTGTATACACCCAATTGAGGTGCTTATAAATACCTAAGACAATGAAATGATGTAGGCTAATAGAATGAGGAAGGTATAAGCTAACAGGGATGGCCATGATTGCATACGCATGCTGTGCTGTGCTGTGCTGTCCATCAACGTGCACCGCTGCAGTGCATGATCAGGTGGCAGCGCCACCTCCCCACCCACCGCACCCATGGCAGCGCCACCTCCCCTGGGCGCCACCGCACCCATGCCACTCACTCACTGGTAGAACATCCCCACGGGAATGAGCTCAGAGTGCCACGCCATCCACTGCTGCTTCTGGATGGCACGTGCCATGCTGCTTGAGCGGGCATGGAGACGGTCCTACCAACCTCTGCTGCCCTCGTCATGTCCAACTGTACAGTGAGCAAGCACGCATTTACCCCCCCCCCCCACAATCACACCCAGCAGCGGTCGAGAACTCACAATCCAGTCCCAGGCGGGCGGCCCCGTGCGCTGGGTGACGTCCACCGCCTGCTTCAGCTCCTTCACCGCCGGCAGCTGCCGCGTGGGGCGGTCCCCCACCTCGTCACTGCCGTGCCGGGCACATGTGGCGACACACGCACGTGCCAGAGAGAGGAAGAGAGGTGGGGCTCCGGGCACAAGAGCGAGAAAAGGCTTTATGGGATCAGATGGAACAAGGTCGGCAGGGGGGTATGGAGACAACAGTATACGGTGCACAGGAGCGTATTGGATGGCCAGGGAGCAGTACCTGGTCCAGGGAGCAGTACCTGGTCCAGGGAGCAGTATCTGGTCCAGGGAGCAGTACCTGGTCCAGAGAGCAGTACCTGGTCCAGGGAGCAGGCGAGTTGTCGCAGCGCACGAAGAGGTAGCGACACACCAGGAAGCCCTGGGGGGTGGGCAAGGGGGGGGGGAGGGGAGGGGGTGCAAGTGGGAAGCACTCCTCTTTCCGCTTACTTCTGAGTGTGTGCTGAAGCAACGAGAAGCACAGGCGTCATCCAGCGCAAGCAAAGGCGCAGGGCACACGGCCCATCGCACATGGCACTCACCACGTTGCTCTTGCGCCGCCAGCAGCGCTCGATGCGGTATACCCCGTCGTACCGTACACCTGCCTGCGGTGCGTAGCTCGACCGCTTCTCCTTCTCTGACCTGCGCACGCGCAGTGGGGCGCAGTGGGGCGCAGTGGGGCGCAGTGGGGCGCAGTGGGGCGCAGTGGGGCGCAGTGGGGCGCAGGTGGATTGGGAACGGGGAGAGGGAAGGGGGGGCTGCCAACGGCAAGGGTACGGGGTTGAGCTGCACTGCCTTCTCTCATCCCCCTCTCTCCCCTTGCCCACGTCACACGCAGCACAGCAGCAGCGCTGCATCGGACGACCCCCGTGCACGCAGCTGAGCCCGAGCGCCTGGCGCTCCTCTCGAACCATCACTTGCTCTCTCTCACGCACACACAGGCAGACCAGCACAAGCAGTGCCGCGCACCTGACGACGCGCACGGGGTAGCCGTGCAGGCAGCTGAGGCGGAGCGCCTGGTTGAGCTTCTCAAACTTCTGGTCGAACGCGTGCAGCTTGTTGGTGCGCTTGTTGCCACTCAGATCGCGACCGCCGCTGACAAGCGCGGAGGGAGGAGGGTGAGCCCGTGCAGCAGAAAGGAGCAGGGCAGGTGGACATGGAGGGCGGAGAGACGGGGGAAGCACAAGGGGAGGAGAGCGGGGAACGGGGCAAGGAAAATAGGAGATTCTGGGCTTTAGACTGTCCTACACTCAGAACGCACCTGCCATTCCACCTGCCTATCCCTCCGCCCCACAGCCCCCTCCTTCAGCCGCACCTGCCAGTGTAGAGGAACCACTCCCCATTGTCCTCGTAGCCCCATCATCCCCCTCCCCCCCTCTCACCCCCTCCCCCCCTCTCACCCCCTTCACCCCCCTCATCCCCCTCCCCCCCTCTCACCCCCCTCATCCCCCTCCCCCCTCTCACCCCCCTCATCCCCCTCCCCCCCCCTCACCCCCCTCATCCCCCTCCCCCCCTCTCACCCCCCTCCCCTCTCACCCGCCTCACTCATGCGCACCTGCCGGTGTAGAGGAACCACTCGCCGTTGTCCTCGTCGTCCTCGTACCCGCCTGACAGCGCCACAGACTGCGCGCCGCGGCTGGACTGCCCGGCGATGCCCGCCACGTGCGGCAGGTGCGCGCCCCACTGCCGGCATGCCAGCCGGCTCGCCCACACCTCGCCCACCGCCACGCCCTGGCCCCTCTCGGGGTCGTACTCCGCCATGATTGGCCCAAAGAAGTCCCCCGGTATCGTCACGAATATCCGGCCCGAGGCTGCGTTCGAGAGCCCTTTCCGCACGGCGCGCTCCGTTGTAAACGCCTGGTCCGGCCTCTTCTCGTTGCCGATTGGCTCGTAGGGCTTCGCTGGTGTTGCTGACGTGGACAGCCCGCCTGCTGCCGCCCGGGCAGCGGCGGCGGCGGCGGCCTTGGCGTGGCGGATGGCAGCGACGATGACGGGGTTGATGCGCGGCTGCTTGAGCATGTCGGGTGGCATGGCTCGTCTGCACTTGGCGCACGTGCGCTTGCCCTGGGCGAGCCACTTGTGGAAACACTTGAGGCAGAAGTTGTGGCCGCAGGGCGTCTGGGGGGAGGGGTGGGGCGGCATGAGGAGGGGGAGCATGGATTGGAGGAAGAATATGAAGTGGGGGAGGGGAGAGCGGGCAGGGGAGAGATGCATTGAAGGAACCTCAGGCGGGCATCTGTGGCTGTGACGCACGCGGACGGCCTTGCTCGGGCTCATTCTGCCATGTGTGAAAAGCTTGCGATTGGTGGCACGGACCGCCACAGGGGGCTGCGGAGGAGCGCGAATGCGGTGGAAGGACATGGGGTGGAAGAGCATGGGGTGGGGAGGATATGGGCCAGGGGAAAGGAGCGGAGAGAGCATGAAAGCAGGCGTCAGGGGCATGAAAGCAGGCGTCCCTCCTGCACCCGCTGTGCAAGCACTAAAGCCGCTTGCCAGAATCACGAAAGTAACCTGCTGAGTGCAGGGATTGGAGAGCAAAGGTAGCCGTGTGCTCACGAATAGAGCACGTGTGGACACAGAGGCCCATGTGGACACAAAGTGGGGTTGGAACACGGATTGGGTGAAAACGAGTTGTGGGTAGACGACGTGGTGGAGGGCGGAAGGGAGGGCGAAAGGGAGGGCGGAAAGGAGGGCGGAAGGGAGGAAGGACGGGAGGGCGCGTCCTTGAAGTGCGGGACGAAGGCGCATGGACGAGCAGGCGGGGCGAACCAACGGCTGGGGAAGAGGAGAAGGACGAGAATGCGAGGAGCGCGGTGGGCGCAGAGGAAGGCGAGGTGAACGAGCAGGACGAGCGGTGGCGGGGTCATAGCAAGCAAGGAGAGGGGGTCGGCGGGGCGCACGGTGACGGGGCGGTCGACGAGGTCGCAGCAGATGGGGCACTTCATCGTGTCCGTGAAGAACGCCTCCGCCGCCTCCGCCGCCGCCATCGCACTCGCCGCGCTCGCGCTCGCATTCGTCGCTTTCGTCGCATTCGTCGCATTCGTCGTCGCCTGCCGGCTCACCAGCGCCTGGCGCTGCCTCGCCTTCTCCTCGTCGCTCAGCGACTCATCGTTTTGAATCGCACGGATCTTCGCACGCAGCTCGTTTTCGCCACCGTCTCCCGCAGCTGCAGCGACGTCTGCGTCTCTCGGGCCGTCCGCCTCGTGAGCCGCAGCAGTAGCCGCAGAAGCCGCACGGCCGTCGCCGTGGTCGGCGCGGGTCATCGCCGCCTCCACCTCGCGGCAGTCGGGGCAGTGCCACGTGCCGGCGGGCGCGGCGGCGAGCGGCGGCACGAGGCACGGCATGTGCCACTCGCCGCGGCACGCGTCGCACACGAGCACGAGGTCGTCGGGCGGCAGCGCGTTGCACTGCAGGCACACGCCGTCCGTGCCGCACGACCGCTGAAGGGCGGCGGACGGCGCGGCGGCCGCCGGCATTGCTGGCGGCATCGCGTCCGCGTGGTTGGGCCGCGTGGTTAGTCGAGTGTGGCTGCTGATGAACTAATAGAAGTGGAGTCAGTCAAGTGGCGTGCGTTTCGTTGTGGCGCCGCACTGCGGTGTGCTGTGGAGAGGTGATGTGTAGTTCCTGGTTGGCAGATGGAGGCCCCTCGTCTGGTTTGAACATAGGCGGGCAGGTTTGGTGGTGCCTGCTCCTCCCCTGTGCGATTCACCCAATGATGGAGCCTCGAGCTCTGCTGCTGCTCCTGGTGCTGTTGGGGAGACCCATGAGATTTGTTTGGTCGCGAGTCGTGATTGGTGGCTGCGGCGATGTTTTGGCGGGAAGTTCAAACACACGAAACAACGAAGTTTGGCGTCACCCCCACGAGTCGGTAACACCAAGGTTTTGCTTTGGAATTAGCCAAGCCGTCTAGATAACAGGGTTCGCTTTATCTACACAATAACGAAGACCCAATGACGCATACGGCACCACCCTCACTCTCACGGCTCCTTCCATCCCGTCCTCCCAAGCCAATTCCTCCACCCTTGCTCGCTCAGCCATGACTTCCCCTCTCCCTCACACGCTTCTCACAGCTCCTCGCCTCGCCTCTCCACCCACCTCGAGTTCTCCCGCTCCTCCTGCCGCACCTCTGTAACGGCCGCGAATTGTACGCTTTCCCACTCTCGCTCCTGCTCTCCCTCCAACCTTCGCGCTCATCCTGCTTACCCGCCCTTCCCGCGCCCTCGCCATCCCCTCTCCCCTCCGCCTCTGTCTCCCTCGCTCGGAAGTTCGTGACCCGCTGCAAGCGCGGAAGCCGCCACCTCTCCGCGTTCTGCGCGCGAGGCGGCGCCAGCCATCGACGCGCGCCGCATGGCTTCCATCGGAGCTGATCACCTGCGGTTCGCGTCGTGACCATGGCGAAAGACACCTGCGAATTCGCGGAATCGCCTGCTCCACGGTAATCATGGCTCGCGAGCTGCCGGTGCTGACGAGCAAAGCGCAGATCGACGCGTTCCTGTGGAACACGGTGGACGCCGTGCTCGTGCTGCGATTCGGCCGCGCGCACGACCCGCACTGCATGCAGCTCGATGACGTGGTGAGGCGCGATTGACGGATGGTGGCTTTTGGTGTTTCCTGCTGGGCGGCTTTCGCTCCGGCCCTCCCCTGCGCGCCGTTCCCCGCTTCCCCTCCTCCCCCGTCCTCACCCCGTCCTTCCCCTCCCTCCCTTCCTCTCCACGGCCGTGACTCGAACCAATCACGGCGTGCCAGCTGGCAAGGGCAGCAGTAGACGTGAGTCGGTTCGCGCGCATCGCTCTGGTGGACGCGGAGGCGGGCGGCGCGGCGGTGTACGTGGAGTACCTGGACGTGCGGGTCATGCCGGCGTGCGTGTTCTTCTTCAACGCCACGCACATCAAGATGGACGCCGGGTGGGGGGCGGGCAGGGGAATGCGTGAGGGGATGGGTGGTGGTTGGTGTGTCGGGGAAAGGCGTATCGACGCAGTATTCAGTGCCACACACATCAAGGTGGACGCGGCATGAGTGGTGGTTCGACTCAAGGCGTGCAGAGGCAGCACGTGGTTGTGCCTTCAATATGTGGGTTTGCGGGTTGTGTTCGTCAACGCCACGCGCATCACGATGGCCGTGCAGTGAGTCATGAGGGGGTGACTCACTGCCGTGGCCGTGGTGGTGCGTGGATGCCATTCTCGTTCCGAGTCAACGCACCAGCACTGGGTGGGCGGCGTGAGCCTGTGGTGCCTGGGTGCGCGTGCTGCCTGCGAGTGTGCTCCGGTTCGGCACCACTCACGGTCAAATGCGCGCTGGGTGAGGGGCGTGCTGGGGGGTGTGAGGATGCAGGGGGTTACCACCCCTCAGGCATTGTGTCCAAGGCATGGAGTGCATGTCGCCTGAGTTTCGTTCTTGCGAATCACCTTCCACTGCTCACTGCACCTCCCACACCTTCCCTCTTCCCTCCTCTCCTCCTAACCCACTCTCCCTTCCCCTTCCCTGATATCCCTGTTCTTCCCTTCCCCTGCCCCTCCTCCTGCCCCTCCCCTGCCCCTCCCCCTGCCCCTCGCCCATCCCTCCATGGCAGCACGGCGGACCACAGCAAGTGGGTGGGGCCGTTCGCCAGCAAGCAGGACTTCATCGACGTGGTGGAGGTGCGAGACAGGGGAAGGGAAAGGGGGGGGGGGGGGGATGTAGGGCGAAGGTGCAGTGGGGTGGGAGGGGGTGAAGAATATTGGGGTGGTGGGCAGCGCGGTCCTGTGGAAGCAGGACTTGATCCGTGGGGTGAAGGTGAGGCGGGGGAGGCCAGGGGGAAAGGGCGTGGTGTGGGTGGGTGGATGGGAATTGGGGGTGATGGCAGGGGGGAGATGTGGAGGGGAAGGGGGGGTTGTGAGGCTTGAAGCAGGATATACCAACTGGGTGGAGGAGCGGGGCGGGAGGGGGAGGGGGACGGGAGAGCGGAGGGGGGAGATAGTGGGCGGACTGGGGGCCTGCACGGGAGGATGTGATGTGATGAGCGCATGGGAGGTGAGGGGAGTGGCGGAGAAATATAAGACTGGGGGGGGCATGAGGAGGTGAGGGGAGTGGCGGAGAAATATAAGACTGGGGGGGGCATGAGGAGGTGAGGGTGCAGCGGGGTGGCAGGGAAGAGGAGGAGGGGGATGCAGGAGACCGGAGGGAGGAGGTGCATACAGCAGCGCACGTGCGGCAGATGGGGCAGCGCAACACTGAGTATCATTTTCCGTTTTCAAAAGCATCCGTGGCCTGACAAGTTGTGAATGCAGGCATCACATTTCTGGCACTGGATGTTCTGCGCCGTCAGTTTCCTTCATATCGTTTCTCCTCGCCCCTCACTCCCGCTTTGTCCCCATCTTATATTCCACATCCTCGTTCCAATCCCCATTTCAACCCCCCTGCCTGCAGACCATCTACAGGGGCGCCATGAGGGGCAAGCTCATAGTGACGTGCCCGCTGCCCAGGGACCGCATCCCCCACTACGAGCTGCTCTACCACAGCTTCTAGCCCGCCGTGCACTCGGAGTTTCCATGCCGGTATCCACTCCTAGGACTATATGAGGGCTTTGGGTGTCAACAAATATAATCATCTAGGCTAGGTAGTTTATATTTGTTATAGCCTTAGTTAGGTCAGTTCTTCGAGGGTACAGTCTTATCTTTGTAACCCTCGACATTTTTCCCTAGTCCACTCTTCTCTCTACATCCTAACATGGCATCTAGAGGTAGGCCCTGCCCTCTCCTCACGTTTCCGCCCTAGCACACCCTAGCCTAGCGCGCCTTGGCCCTCACTTCGCGCTCTCGTAGTTTGTCCCCTCCCCACCCTCCGCTATTCGTCGCGTAGCTCACGCCAGCCGTCGCTGGCCCGCGCCTGCCAACGCCTTCGTTCATAACCGTCCCCCCTCCCGCCACCCGCTCGTAGCCCGCGCTAGCTCGTGCCAGCCCGCCTGCTCGCCTGCTCACAAGCCCGCCTGCTCGCCTGCCCGCCTGCTCGCCAGCTCCCACGCTCGCCTGCTCACCGGCTCGCCCGCCCGCCTGCTCGCCAGCCCGCCAGCCCGCCTGCTTGCCAGCCCGCCAGCCAGCCTGCTCGCCAGCTTGCACGTTCGCCTGCTCGCCAGCTCGCACGTTCGCCTGCTCGCCTACTCGCCAGCTCGCCTTCTCGCCAGCCCGCCTGCTCGCCAGCGCGCCTGCTCACCTACTAGCCAGCAGCGCCAGCAGCCAGCGCCAGCAGCCAGCAGCGCCAGCCAGCGCCAGCAGCCAGCAGCGCCAGCCAGCGCCAGCAGCCAGCAGCGCCAGCCAGTGCCAGCAACCAGCAGCGCCAGCAGCCAGCGCCAGCTAGCTGGCTCACCAGCGCTACCAGCGCCAGCAGTCAGCAGCCAGCACCAGCTCGCCAGCGCCTGCAGCCAGCACCAGCTAGCTCGCCAGCGCCAGCCAGCGCCAGCAGCGCCAGCAGCCCGCAGCCAGCAACCAGCAGCACCAGCCAGCACCAGCAGCCAGCGCCAGCAGCCAGCACCGCCAGCCAGCGCCAGCAGCCAGCAGTGCCAGCAGCCAGTGCCAGCAGCCAGCAGCGAGCTCGCTGGCTTACCAGCGCTACTAGCGCCAGCAGCCAGCAGCCGACGCCAGCTCGCCAGCGCCTGCAGCCAGCACCAGCTAGCTCGCCAGCGCCAGCCAGCGCCAGCAGCCAGCAGCGCCAGCAGCCCACAGCCAGCGCCGGCTGCTGCCGCCCACTGCCACTGAAACTACCGCTGCCACTCCCGCAGCTACTACTGCCCGCTGCCGCCTACTGCCACCCACTGTCATTGCAGTCGCCACTCCTGCAGCCACTCCTGCAGCCACTGCAGCCGCTGCCGCCACTGCCGCTACAGCCGCCACCGCCGCTACAGCCGTCGCTGCCGCTACAGCCACTGCTGCTCCTATCGCCACTGCTGTTGCGCACCGTCAGCTTCGGCCCCCAGTAGCCGGCCACCAGCCGCCAGCACCAGTCGCCAGCCGCCAGAGGCCGACCGCCGACCCCCAGCCGTCAGCCGCCAGCTTCCACCACTCGCAGCCAGCCGCCGACCACCAGCCGCCAGCGGCAGTCGGCCGCCAGCGGCCAGTCGCCTTTCGGCCGCCAGCCCCGTGAGTCCCCCGTGCCCTGTAGACTGTCCTTCACCCTGTGCCGCCAGTCCTGCTAGCTCCTCGGCATACTGCTCCTAGTAGCTCCTCTCGCGCGTACTCCCTCCTCTTTTGCTCCCCACTCCTCCTAGCAGCTCCTAGCCTACCACCAGCCACTCACTAGTTGGCTGGTGGTCAAGGTTGAATAACCTGAGTACGTGAACTTGTGAGTAATCAAAGTTAATAATGAAAAAGACCTTACAGAGATTTATAGTTCTACGAAAAGTACCTATTCGCTAATGTACCTGTTCGTCACTATCGCGCTATGCGCCCTAGATGATAATGAAGGGGTGCGACTGTTCGCGTGACTGAAACGACTGTCCTATGACGAGCGCTATTTGCTGATGTCATCCTACGGACTTATCTTCTACAGTATGATTCGACACTAACTACACATAATCGACTTACAGAAATGCTAAGTATCAATTATATCACAACACTCCCCTTCATTTCTGGAAGTTCGATAGTGTCACTTCTTGAAGATTCCGCAGAGCTTGTTACAGAACAGAAACTTCTGTCGTGTCAGCTTCTTCGTAAGAAAATCGGCAGCCATTTCGTTGGTCGAACAGTAGACCAATCGCATCCTCCCCTTCTCGGTACCTTCTTCCCTTTGGCCTCTGAAGTCGGTACTAAATCCCATGTTCCGCGATTCTTGAGTGTTGTTAGCTCCTTGTTCATGGCTTCGCGCCATTTCTTTCGGTGAGGACTCGTAAGAGCTTGTCGGACGGTTTTCGGTTCAGGTATCTTACTGTCGTTGCACTGTACTGCTACTGCAAATCCCAATATCTGCAATCCTGTTTCTGTAAAACGCGGACGTTCTTCGTTTGCACCTGCGAAATTTTCTTCTGCTCCTTCTTCCCCCCCAATTTCGTCAGGTGTAACACGAACTGCTTTGTCAGAGACGGCGGGCATCGGCTGTTGCTGGCGGTCGCGTTCGTAACTGAGACGAACTTCGCAAACATCATCCTGGTCAGCATCTGCAAGAGGAATGAATTCAGGTATGCCGGTCGAGGTGACAGGTTCGGGAACGTCTATTGCGTCAGCTTCGAAAGCTTCAGAAACATCCTCGTCCTGTACATCAGCTTCAGCTTCGTCAGTTGCAAACGCACGCGAGCCTTCGAACAGCCTGGCGGGATTGGCGGCTGCTGTCTGGTGGGCACAAAAAACGGGCAAGGTGAGTATTTCATAGAAATGACAATCACGTGATGGAACGATTTGATGGGAGCGAAGGTCCAAAATCTTCCACGCGTGATACTGTTTTTCGATGCCGAGGTGTACCCCCCATTTTGCTCGTTCAGAATATTTTCCGAGTGCTGCGGTTGGAGGACGAAACTGTATAACACACCCGAAAACTGGTAAAAGTTTTGTGCTTCCCACTGTTCGTGTCCACTGCAGGTGTGGAGAAGAAAACTCGGGCAGGGACGTTGAACAAAGAAGATTGTGTAACAGCACGGCGTGGTCCATCGGATACGGCCAAAAATGCGGTGGAAGTGCTGCCTGCGTCAGCAGAGCACGCATCTTCTCCTGCAGTGTTCTGTTCATCCTTTCTGCTACCCCCATCTGTTGGTGTGCATGCGGCAGAGACTGCTTCCGTTTGATGCCGAGTGTCTGAAGGTAGTCTGTGAAAGTGTTGCTGGTGTACTCCCCTGCACCATCACTCTGAAATTCTTGCAGTTTCGCGCCAGACTCCCGTTCAGCGACAGCGAGCCATGCGACGAAAACGGAGTGAGCAAGATGGCGCGCAGGTAAGTTAGCTGTCCAGTTATATCGTGTAGACGCTTCGATGAATGTTATCACATACTTCTCGTCTTTAGGGCCTGCTTCAGACAAGTTGAGTATGTCGCTGTAGACTTTCTGCATCAGTTGATAACGGGTTGAGCCGGGAAAATGACTTGGAAACGGATCGTGCGTAAGGTTGGCAACTGGACAAGTGGTGCAAACCGTCGGACGAGACTGCGCCTTCATCACCGTGCCATCAGGTAAAAGTAAACTATTTTTATCAAGAACTGCTGCTCGGATTGAATGATTAAGAATCCCTTGTGATGGATGTCCTAGCCGCTGATGCCATATATCTTTCGTGGCTTTGTGTCCTGATGATCGCAGGTAAAAATCGGAGTTAGTATAAAAGGAAGAAAGAATGAAAGGAGAAAGGGCTGGTGACTTGTCAATTTCTCCTTCGACGAAACGGTGAAGAGGTAACGTGACTTGTGATGTTGCTGCTGCAGGTGTAAGTATAACCCCTGATACTGCTTCTGTTGATGTCGTGGCAGGTGTTTCGGCGAAAGCTACAGTTGGACTCGGCTGCTCAGCTACGGCTTCCTGTTCGGCTTCTTCAACAAAGTCAGGTTCATCAGTGGCAAGACCACTGATTTCTCCCCAAATTGGTGCTGGAGTTCCTTGGAAGGTTGCACGGGTATTATAAAACGTTCACCACGCGGTGGCGCTTTCATCGGCGGTATTGAACTCCCAGGTATCCAACGTGGTAAGTACGGCGGCTGCTGTTCGAGAAGCTGTTGGTACTGAAGTTGCGCGAAAATCAATGTCCACATGTTGATAATCGGTTTCTTCTGGGTGATCCCAAGGACCAAGTGCAAGGACACGTTCAGAATCGCCAGAAGTTCCCTGTGCTGCGAACTGAAGTACCGACACGCCATGTTGAGTGGCGGCACGACCAAGGTAGGTATTAGTTATACTGTGCCAGAGCTCTTGATCCATCGTCTCACAATTTCCTTGTGTATGGATTTTGTGTGCCAGGAGTTGAGCTGTGGAAAGAAGGTTGAAGCCAAGTCCGGCGACGATAAGAACATTCGTAACATGAAGTGAGTATCCCGTGTCGATAGATTCGAGCATGACACTGCCAACTGATCGTGCCATTATCGTTTGTCCATTTGCGACTGTGACAGGTATCGGACGACAAAGTGGACGCTGATTAGTGATAAAGCTTGTTTCGGCAGATTACATATGCCATTCGCAGCAGCTGTCGAGATACCAGGTATTTGGTCCTGAAATTATGCGAGCAAGGTTAGCGTAAACTTGAGGTAAAGGAATGCCTTCAGCACTTGTTGTTTCTTCAAGTCGTGTTTCGAAATCTGTTTCTGAAATATCAACTGTGGTGACGCAGCCAAAAACCCCTTTTCCTGATGTGGCAGATGCGAAGACCGGCGGACGATGCTGCGACGTCGATTGATTCGGTGGCCGTTTCGGTATCTGCTGCTGCTGAGACGTTAACTGCTGCTGTGGTAGTTGTGTCTTCGGTAACTGCTGCGATCGTTCATACGGCTGCGAAGTATTGCGACGATTTTGATGACGGCTGCGACAGTTTTGATAAGTATGTCCTGGTTTCTTACAGAAATGGCAGAACGGGTACTTTGGTGGATGTCGATGTTGTGTTTCTGGACTGGAGTAAAAACTTAAATGAACTCCCCTTTTCTGGTTGTGTTGTGACTGCAGGTCAAGATCTTGCTGCTCTGCTTGAAGATAAGAAGAGATTTCAGCTTCGGAGAGGTTGGTCATGCGCAGGAAGGCGCGCGTCTGTCGCCATTCGGGTCCAAGGCCAGCCAGAAGGACTGTGAGATACATCTCACGAGGGAAGTATCCCCTGCTCTTCTCCAGTTGGTCACGTAGTGTACGGCCGCGGTTAACGTAGTCCATGACATTTTCATTTGTCATCATCTGCACACTTGTCAACTGCGAAAGTATTTTACTCACTGTTATTGTATCCTTTGCCATGTATACCCCCTTCAGATGGTTCCATGCGGTTTCGGCTGGTGTAAAACATGAGTGAAACGATCGAACGCCGAGCTGCTCCTTCGGCGACAAGTTCCGTACAAGAACTGTATACGCCCCGAGAGAGGCGTGCAAGAAACTCTGCTGCTCCAGTTGCGTTCCCGTAACAGGATAGGTGAATTCTACGGTGAAGAACGGCCAAAGCCCAGCGGACTGCGCTAGAAGCTCAAACTCAAAGCTCCAGGAGTAGAAGTCGACTCCGTTAAAAGGTATGGTTGTCTTGATTTGAGTATTGTTAAGTAAATTTGGAGGCTGAACGACAATGCCCGGCTGTTGTTGCTGTTGCTGTTGTTGCTGTTGTTGCTGTTGCTGTTGTTGCTGTTGCTGAACTTGCTGTGGCTGCTGAACAGGGGGACGACCGAAGATGTAGAAAGGATGCTGAAACTGCTGTGACTGCGGTTGTTGTACGAAAGGTGAGAAAGCGAACAAACCAGTACTTGGAGCTGTAGCTCCACGCATGTAACTTGAGCAGTCAAGGCTCATTCCACTGAACGCAGATGAAATCGATTGCGTTGAAACTGGTGGCTGTACTGACGCTTGATGCTGTGTTGTCGTCTGTGATTGTTGCTGTTGCGTTGCAGGTGCAGTCGATGGAGCACCTGGAGTATTCACAGAAGGCGGATTCTGCTATTGCATACCGATATTAGCGTAGGCTGGTGGAAAGTGCCCAGAGGCTGAGAGACCAGCGGCCGTAGTGGAGGCATGTGCTCCAGTAGTCCCAGTAACTGATCCAGCAGATGGTGCTGGTGTTGAACCAGTCATGATTGACGGTAGTCTTAATTCCAGATAGCTCTCATACCATGCTCGCCCGCCCGCCTGCTCGCCAGCTCCCACGCTCGCCTGCTCACCGGCTCGCCCGCCCGCCTGCTCGCCTGCTCGCCAGCCCGCCAGCCCGCCTGCTCGCCGGCCCGCCAGCCAGCCTACTCGCCAGCTCGCACGTTCGCCTGCTCGCCAGCTCGCCTTCTCGCCAGCCCGCCTCCTCGCCAGCGCGCCTGCTCACCTACTAGCCAGCAGCGCCAGCAGCCAGCGCCAGCAGCCAGCAGCGCCAGCAGCCAGCAGCGCCAGCCAGTGCCAGCAACCAGCAGCGCCAGCAGCCAGCGCCAGCAGCCAGCAGCCAGCTAGCTGGCTCACCAGCGCTACCAGCGCCAGCAGTCAGCAGCCAGCACCAGCTCGCCAGCGCCTGCAGCCAGCACCAGCTAGCTCGCCAGTGCCAGCCAGCGCCAGCAGCCAGCAGCGCCAGCAGCCCGCAGCCAGCAGCCAGCAGCACCAGCCAGCACCAGCAGCCAGCGCCAGCAGCCAGCACCGCCAGCCAGCGCCAGCAGCCAGCAGTGCCAGCAGCCAGTGCCAGCAGCCAGCAGCGAGCTCGCTGGCTTACCAGCGCTACTAGCGCCAGCAGCCAGCAGCCAACGCCAGCTCGCCAGCGCCTGCAGCCAGCACCAGCTAGCTCGCCAGCGCCAGCCAGCGCCAGCAGCCAGCAGCGCCAGCAGCCCGCAGCCAGCGCCGGCTGCTGCCGCCCACTGCCACTGAAACTACCGCTGCCACTCCCGCAGCTACTACTGCCCGCTGCCGCCTACTGCCGCCCACTGTCATTGTAGTCGCAACTCCTGCAGCCACTCCTGCAGCCACTGCAGCCGCTGCTGCCACTGCCGCTACAGCCGCCGCCGCCGCTACAGCCGTCGCTGCCGCTACAGCCACTGCTGCTCCTATCGCCACTGCTGTTGCGCACCGTCAGCTTCGGCCCCCAGTAGCCGGCCACCAGCCGCCAGCACCAGTCGCCAGCCGCCAGAGGCCGACCGCCGACCCCCAGCCGTCAGCCGCCAGCTTCCACCACTCGCAGCCAGCGGCCGACCACCAGCCGCCAGCCCCGTGAGTCCCCCGTGCCCTGTAGACTGTCCTTCACCCTGTGCCGCCAGTCCTGCTAGCTCCTCGGCATACTGCTCCTAGTAGCTCCTCTCGCGCGTACTCCCTCCTCTTTTGCTCCCCACTCCTCCTAGCAGCTCCTAGCCTACCACCAGCCACTCACTAGCCGCTGGCCAGCTCCTGCTCGCTTGCTGCCTTTTGCTCCCAGCCCGCCGCTAGCTAGCCGCCACTGCCGTCTTCCTGTCACTAGCTACTGTTACCGTCAGCCTACCGCTAGCCGCTGCTGCTACCAGACTCGTGCTCGCTGCCATTGCTCCTGCCACAGTCGCCACTACTACTACCTCTGTTAGTACTCCTCTAGCACCTAGTGCCTCCCACTAGTCTCCTCATTTCCAGAGTTCCTCGACGCCTCTCCTCAGCATGGTGGCCTCGTTAGGATCAGTCCCTCGGCCTGACCGCCGGGCACTTCCCTTCGCTCTCCGGTTTCTCGCTCACCATCTACAGCTGGTGAGCTCACACGTAGACTGCACGCAGAAAGAGGATCACATTAGTTACCTCCTTGGCTTCTGGCTCCACGATCTCGACGTCTACTTCCGGGCTCTCTGGCCAGCGCCATAGCCACAGCAGCCATAGCAGCGGCAGCCGCAGCAGCAGCAGTGGGGTCTTGGGGGCGTTGGGCGTGGTAGCGGCTCTAGAGGTGCGGCCCCAGGGCGGTCACTGTCCTGGGCCCAGTGTGGTTTCTTTGGAGGACCGGGGGCCTTAGGGCCTAGGGGTCTAGGTCCCACTATTGTGTGTAGTCTAGGAGCCACTATTTGGTGTCCCATAGGCTCCTCCCCTGCCCCTCCTACGGCATCCCTCTCTCTTATCCTGGACTCAGGTGCGTCTATTTGCTTCTTTAGAGATAGTACTGCTCTTATCCCACTTCCTGCGCCTGTCCACATCTCATTTGCATACTCCTCCGCCGCAGCTGTTGCACACAGTACCACCACTCTCCCCTGTCCAGCTGTCCCCTCTGGCTCCCTCACCGGTGTGCACATCCCCTCGTTTTCCAGGAACCTAGTGGGTGTCGATCACCTCCAAGACCGAGGCGTCACCACTACGTTTCCTGGTCATGAGAGACACGCAGCTCGCACAGACACAGCCACCGGTCTCTTCACCCTACACACTGAGTTCCCGCCAATTGCTGCGTCTACTGAGGTAGCTGCGTCGTGCTCCTGTCGCTCCCTCACCCAGCCGACCCTTCGGTGGCACCACCGCTTAGGTCACCCTGCACTCTCACGTCTTAGGCACATGTCCCAGCACGATCTAGTCACTGGTCTCCCTGTGTCACTCCCAGCCTTGTCTGCGTTGGTCACCCCACTGTGCACCTCCTGCGTTGAAGGCCGGCAGCGTGCCGCCCCTCACTCCTTGTTTTCTCCTACCACAGCCCCGCTACAGACACTGTACATGGACGTCTGGGGCCCTGCCCCGGTCCATGGTCTTAGTCGGGAGCGTTACCTCCTAGCCATCGTTGACGACTTCTTGTGTTTCACCACGGTGTTCCCGTTGGAGCGGAAGGCCGACGTGCCTACCGTTCTCCTAGCATGGTTGCTAACTGTTCGCACTTAGCACCGCTTGCCCGTAATTCGGTAGCATTCTGAACATGGTAGAGAGTTCGCCTCGGGTACTCTATGATAATTCTATCGTGTAGAGGGCATCCGCCAGACGTACACACTGCCGTACTCCCTACAGCGAAATCGGATCACTGAGTGACGCATCGGCCTGGTCATGGAGGTAGCTCGCACCTACTTGGTCCACGCCGGTGCACCCCACTTAATGTGGCCGTTCGCCGTACGCTACGCAACTCACCAGCTTAACCTGTGGCCACGCTCCCAGCGACCACAGGTTCTGCCGACCCGTCTCTGGACCAGGTCTCCTGGTGTCACTAGTGCGTTCCGCGTCTAGGGCAGCCTTGCTTACATTCGCGCCACTAGCGCAGATAAGCTCTTAGCCCGCACCCGTCCGTGTGTCTTCCTCACATTTTCATCGGACGCCCCTGACTGGCTGTTTTACGACCTGGTCCACCACCGCTTCTACCACTCTCGTAACGTTACCTTCGACAAGAAACTTCCCTACTACATGCGCTTCCCTTACGGCAGCGCTCCTGTGCCTCCTCCTCCTCTCTTTCTCGTCCCTGCCCCACCTGCCGCACCCCTCCCACCCCGCCCAGCCCTGTCTGGTGTCTCTCACGCCACTCCCCTCGGTCGGGCCTGTGGGAGAGTCTACTGACTTAGGGGGTCCAGCTGCTGGGGGCGCACCTGCTATCCCTGTGACATCCCCCCCAGCCCCAATACCCCAGGCACCTCAGCCGTCTCCCCCCTCGCCTCCGCAGTAGCCGCAGCAGACTCAGCAGCAGCAGGGGGCAGTGTGCTCTGGGGGTGCTGGTTGTGGGGGTGCTGGTGCTGGAGGTCTTGGTGTTGGGGGTGCTGGTATTGGAGGTGTTGGTATTGGGGGTGCTGGTTCTGGGGGTGCAAGCTCTGTGGGTGGTGCTAGTCCTGGGGGTGCTGTTTCGGAGAGTGCCAGCGGTAGCCGAGGTGCACCCGGAGGTCCTGGCGAGGACAGGGTGCCGCCGCAGCCACGGCCGCAACAGCAGCCGCAGCCGCAACCACAACAGGAGCAGCAGCAGTCTGCCCTTTGTCTCCTTGGCCTTGCTCTAGGTTCCCCTATCCGCTCGCACGTTCCCCCTCCGATGCGTGACCCTATTTAAAACTCGCTGTTCCCTTCTCCGGAATCCTCTCCGGCTCATTTTCCCACCGCGCTCCCCTCCGTCCCCTGACTTGTCCCCCATTCCCCCTCGTCCCCGGTCAACAATTCTTCCCCACAAGGTCCGTCGCCCCTCTTGTGCTCGTCCTGTCTCTCCCCGTCGTAACGTCCACCCTATGGTCCTCCGTTCTCGTGCTCCTCTATTCCCTGTGCTTCCATTACCTCCTTCGTCGTCGCTCCCGCAGTCCCCCCCTCATCACTCTGACGCTGCTCGCACTGCTCGTCCTACCCTCTCGCGCCTGCTGGCGTCGCTTGTCACTGACCCTACGGCTCCTCCTGAGACCGTCTCTGCGCTCGTCGATGTTGTCGCTGATTTCGCTGCTAGCCACCGCCTTGACTACGCTGCCGCTCTGGTCTCTGGTACTGCCCGTTCTCCATCCGTCGGGGGTGCACCTGCCCTTGGCAGTGACGTGCTAGAGGACACGCAGTACGAGTTGGCCTACCTTGCTGCCGTGGTACCCCATCTCTGCTCCATGCTTGCATCCCCAGAGGGACGACCCAGACGCCCTAAACATCCTTGCCCCGCTCTCCTACGCTAAGGTGGTGTCGGGACCCTGGGCAGCCCAATGGATACAAGCCATGGAGGCTGAGATGGCATCCTATAGATCCACAGGCACGTACGTCGACGCAGTTCCCCCGCCTGGGGCGAACGTAGTTGATGGCATGTGGATCTACATGGTGAAGCGCGCACTGGGAGAGCCACTGAAGTTCATGTCGTGTTACGTGGCCAGAGGTTTCAGTCAGCGAGAGGGTGTGGACTTTTTCCATACCTTCTCCCCAACCCCGAAGATAACTACTCTTCGGGTGCTCCTTCATCTTGCCGCGCAGCGTGACTACGAGCTTCACTCTCTCAACTTCTCCACAGCTTTCCTGCACGGTCATCTGCTCGAGCAGATCTACCTCCAGCGACCACTAGGCTTCTCAGGGTCCGTCCCGCCTAAGTACGAGTTGAGACTGCATCACCCTGTCTATCGCCTTCGCCAGGCACCGCGTGAGTGGCACGACACGCTCCGCACGACTCTTGCACAGTTGCAGTTCTTCCCGTCCTCTGCTGGTCTTTGTTCCTCTGCTGGCCTTTGGTCTTTGACACTTCGCTCTTTGTTCGTGCTGGTTAAACCCCGTTCTTTATCCTAGAGAATGTAGACGATCTGATCTTTGCTACTCTTGACAAAAACGCTCTGGCCTCAGTGAAGGTCGAGCTACTTAGGAGGCACACCTGTACGGACCTGGGGGAGCTGAGGCGCTATCTGGGCTTGGAGATCTCTCGTGATCGTGTCGCTCGCAAGATCACACTCTCCCAGTTCCATATGGTACAGCAGATCCTCTAGAGGTTCGGTTTCCAGTTCTCCTCGGCACAGCTCGCCCCTCTACCTATGGATCACAAGCTCTCTGCTCCTGTTCCGGCTAAGCCGGTGGAGGCTAATGGTCCATATGCAGAAATGGTGGGGTGCCTCTTATACCTTATGACCTGCACTCGACCAGATCTAGCGTACCCTCTGAGTCTCCTTGCTCGCTTTGTGGCGACAGGCAGACACCGACCAGTCCAGTGGTTGGCTGCGAAGAGGGTACTGCAGTATATGGCGAGTACATCAGGACTGGGGCTTGTGCTAGGAGGACGGGAGCTAGTGGTGCTCAGTGGACACATACGCATCGTGGGCTGACGAGTTGGAGATGCTCAGGTCGTCTCAGGGCTACTATTTTAGACTTGGTGCTGGTGCAGTCTCGTGGAGGTCCACCAGGTCGTCGTGTGTAGCTCAGTCCTATTGTGAGGCAGAGATCTACGCTGGGGCCACGGCCGCTCCGGAGCTCCGCTGGCTGTCGTTCTTGCTCACTGACTTAGGTGAGCCGCCTTGGTCTCCCCCGGTCCTGTTTGCTGACAACAAGGCCATGATGCTCCTATGTCATGAGGCTGGACTTTGAGGGCAGGGCAAAGCACATCCAACTGCGGTACTTCCTGCTGCGTGAGTTGCAGCAGCACGGTCAGGCTCGTGTGGTACAATTGGCCTCAGAGGCCAATATCGCTACTATCTTCACTAAGGCACTTGGGCCTCGTGACCATCAGCGGTTCTGTACTCAGCTTGGTCTAGCCTCAGTAGCAGCACTACTCTTTGTATCCTGAGTCATACTATTCTTGCTGGTTACTTGTTCTATACCTGTCGTCTTGCTGCACTTTCTGACTAGCCTTGTGGCCTCTTTTCTCAGTGGTCAGACTAGTAGTGCTGCCCTAAGTTGCCTTGTTACCCTCACCAGATGTCAGACTAGTAGTGCTGCCCTGGTTTACTTTTCCTTGTTATGAACTGCCTCTATCTCGGCTTGGGGGTGTGGCAACAAATATAATTATCTAGGCTAGCTAATTATATATTTGTTATAGCCTTTGTTGGAAATACCTCGAAGACTTAAGCGTTTCTGAAGTGTAACACTACACTCGAAGGAAATGTTGTATCGAGTACGCGAGTCAACGGAGGTTACACAAGGAGGTTGGACGAAAGAACACGAAAGGACGAAGGGACTCGAAGGATCACAAGCGGAGGTTGCGACTGACCGTTACGACTGCAAGGGTGGTAACCGAGCCTTCGATCAAGTCGTTGTGCGACTCGATAAACCGTTTCTTCAATTGTATTCTACAATTGCTATATTTTCTATCTTCTATCTATCGATGTATGCTTGTTTCTTTTAAAAAATCACTTGCTCTCACATACTAGTGCAAGGGTTCAACTACTCAACACTTCTGCTGCACTACTCAAGCATCTTGTACAAGTGGGACTTAGTCTCTGGAAAGATCCCAAGGGCTTTCTCAGCCCAACATGGTATGAGAGCTGGCCAGAGACCAAACTCCCAGCTACAACGCTCTATCTACAGTCAAGCACATCAAGCGATTCATCGGTTACAAGTCATGGACAACAAGGGCAAGAAGTCTTCTACGGTCTCATCCAGTGCCTAAGACGCTCAACCCGGCAACTCTGGACTACACTCTTCAGGATTACAAACTGAGATCGGCGCTACTCAAGAAACAACAGGGAGGGTACCAGAAATGGTGATCCCTTCACCTTCTTCAAGCGTGGACCCGAACCTTATGGAAAGGTTCTTCAGCTTCATGTCGCACTCTGACCAGCAGCAGCAGACAAGGACACCTGCGCATTCCACACAGAGCAACCAGGGAACCATGGGATTAGCACCAATGAGCCTCGACAACTCATCATTCCGGCGGCACAATCAGGCGCCTACCTTTGCGCCTTATCACTCTTCATCGGGGACGTTCGAGTTCATGCCGCCCCGTGCTCAACCGACAGCAGCTGCATCACAACAGACACCAAACGAGATATTGAGTCTCCAGGCGTAGTTTTCACATGTGATCAAACTGCAGACATCTTCACCGTTCAACGGGCACGACTTCTTTACCTGAATTTTTGAGTTCGAGCTGCTGATGGAGGCCGCGCACCTCCTGGGATACTTCAACGGGTCCCTTCCATTTCCAAGCAATGGCACTGCAAAGGAGCAGGAAATCTTCACTTATCAGTCGCTGCTGGCGTACACAGTCCTCCTGCGAAACCTGTCACCACAAGAGTAACAGAGCATCAGAACGTATCGAAGCTACGGAAACTCCACGGAGCTCGCTTGGCATCATCTGAAGTGCCTCTATCAGGCAAACGACAGTGTGACACAAAGCAGACTCATGCAACAGCTGACAACAATACAAATGAAGACCGAGGAAAAGGCGATGCAGTATATGAGTCACTGCCAAACACTTCGCGACTGCCTGCTTCGGTGCGGAGGTACAATCACTGAAGAAAGCTTCGTAACACTTATCCTCGCCGGGCTCGGGCCAGAATGGAGAACCCATGGACGAATTTCCGAGATGCACCTCAGCGCCGAGCTTCATGCTGAACAACAGGAGATGGACCTGTTTGAAGAAAGACAACCACGGAACAAGCAGCAACCATTAGTCTTCTACACACAAAGAAGAAACGACAACAACTACAACCGACGCGATAAGCAGAATCGATATGACACCAGAGGTCTCACCGTCGTGCCGCCGTTCTGCCACAATTGTCAGACATCCGGACATTCCAAGGTTAACTGCACGCGCCCTCAAGTTTATCGTCCAGCAGATCCGCAAGTCGCCTCCACTCAAGAGAATCCGCCAAGCCGCTCCTCTACACGTGCACAAGACACACCAAACATCATCAACTGCATGGTATGGATCGACAGTTGCAGACCCGAGTCACCACCCACTTACGCTCCAGACGAAGAAGAACTGCCGCCGCCGCAATCACAAGGTCTTCAAGTCAACCCCACGTATGCAACAGTTGCCAACGCCGAACCCACTGGGCGAAACACCTGGTTCTTGGACAGTTGCTGCGGCCAACACATGTGTTCTTCCGGGCGTTTCGTGCAACGGGAGCGACGCCTCAACCGCGATGTCATCATCACCGTCGCCAACAACGAGAACCTGAAAACAAAAACACAAGGAGTTGTTCAACTTCAATCAATGGAGACAAACGTCATACTACAACTCAACAAGGTTCTCATCGTCGACAACTTGGGATACAATCTACTAAGCGTCAGCCAGTTAATGGCAAAGGGAATTCACCTGGAATGTGACTCGTACGCCAACGAGTTTCGACTTTACCACGCGAAAGGCGGCCTCTTCATCAGTTGCGCTCTCCTGAAGTCGGGTGTCTTCATGTTGGACTTCGTCCCCAACCGCGGAACTGCCGACAGTGACGGCATCGTGTTATTCGCCGCCTGGACGCATCCGCCAAATCTTGACCCCAATTTCATTCCAGACGGATTCTGGTACTCCAACACCATCCCTGCAGCAGAAAGAACACAAGCATTAGCAGTCATCCAACAAGAACGACAAGTACCAACAAGCATCCCTCACCCGACATCACCTGTAGTAGCAGCAGTAGGACCCCGCCGTGCGCCATCACCAGCAATCCTAGAACCGCCATCCGAAGTAGATCAACTCATGCCCATCACCCGAAGAGTCTACCGCAGTCCCGCCACGGTCGTTGCGTTCTTCTCCAACAACGACATGTACCAGCGCTCACCCGGCCATCGCGCTCCCGACGATATCTGGCATCAACGCCTCGGACATCCTGCAGCACAATACTACAAACCATACAAGCCGGAGTATTAGAAAAGGACGCTCTTCTCACAACG